TAGAAGCGTACACGAGTTCCACACAAGACAGAAGGAGACACAGACAAAGTGGATTTCAGTGTCATTTTATTGTGAAAACAGGATAAACCACGGGTCACGCTGCTGTAGGATCCACCCCACTCTCCCACACAGTGTACATTATTCATTATTCATGATTTTGGAAAGTACCCCTGAAAATGAACAGAGTAAAAGAGCACAGCGAGAGGCTGTCCCACGAGGAAAAGCAACATATAGAAAATGTGGGTGTGTTGCCATGGTAACGTGAGCAGGGAAGCAGTATCTAGAAATAAATAAATAAATTAATGGTACATGTTGGAACGAGGGTCTCGACTTCCTGGAGCAGTGGTGGCGCGCACACACGCGCACAAACTCCACTGACACATAGCTCTTTGATACAGCACACATGGTGAAAACGCTGATGATATGGAATAACGCAGCATCACACACTGATCGTTTAAATTAAAAGGTCACCCACACATTACAGCGCAACATCCGTGCCACCTGGCAGCACGGGAAGCAGCTGGAACCACGAGACGCGCGGGGCCTCTGCTGAAGGACGTACACAACGTCAGGGCGACACAGAGACACGTGAAACCTGCTTGGACAGGTCATGCCCATGCTAATGCTAACTGATTTGAAAACGTGCCTAGATGTCGCTGAGCATGCGAAGGGCAGGCCTACTCAGGCTAACTTTTCAAACACTGATTAAGATCACTTATAATAAACACCATCTCAGTTTATTATAACTTGGGTTGTTAGTTTCGGAGTCATTGCTATTAAATATTTATTGGCAAGAGTAACAGTGTTACAACCAAGCTAACTATTTGCATCTTAAACAGGATCAATAACTGGGAAAAGATGGTTACGTTTTTTGGAAATCTGACTTTACTATGTAGGTACCATTTTCGGCCTGTATACTTCATAAACACTTTAGAAAGATTTACATTTGATAGTTAATTTTGTGCAGTTATATTTAGCAAAGTTTTCAGCTGTCAGAATGTTAGCTTGTTCTGGTGCTAGTTGGATAACTAATCTGTGCTGTACATATTCATACTATTCTGCTCTGCTAGTTGTTGGGATTGTTACAGATATTTTGGCTGAGTCTGCTGCTGTTTGACCTAAAAATAAAGTGGTTTAAGTCTAGAGACCAGTCGCACCCATCTGGCAACATCTGTTTGCGAGGGGAAAATGTGTATTCCCCAACCAGTTGGCAAGTGGTTGCTGGAAGCTGCTGGCAGCCACTGGGTGAAGTCAAAAAAACTCCAACTGTTTTCCAACCAGTCAGGGAATACCCACGTTTCTCTTGCAACCAGCGGCTCACTTAGAGGCCTACAACACTGAGACAGTCGATTTTATAGCGACTGCCAACAACATCCAAGTGCACCAACTGGTGGGGGATAAAATGTCCACAACTTTTTCATCCTTTGACTGCTCTGACTTGTGTGTCTTTAACACTAACCTGTTGTGGTGATACCGGTATTACCAGTTTGTTGGACAAAATACTCCAAATAATCCAAGCTGTAATAAACCGAGCAGCTTCTGACAGACGCTCATTTGTTTGTAGTTTTCAGGATCATGTCCGTCCCACAGATTTCTAAAAATAAAGCTGAAGTCATACCTGATGAGTTCTTTATTGCAGGTATGAGTAAGGTTATAACTGAGCATGTACGCCTTCTGTCCTAATGTGACTGCAGGATGTTCACTGTGTCTCTGCGTCGCCTCTGAATGAAAGGCACAGAAAAATGAGAGTAGTAATGTGTGTGTGTCTGTGTGTGTATGTATGAGGCAACCAAAGTAAGTCATAAATATCACAGCTCAAAAAATAACAGCAGAATGAATGACATCATGTTTGGACTGTACAAAAATATCCTGTGCTGGGACTCAGATATGTCTGACACGACACAGGCAGAGGACGCATGTAAGAAATCATCCTGGCTTTGTCCTTCTGTGCTGATGATATGATGCTTATTTTCAAATATGGTGTCTCTGCTGATGAAAAGTGTCCCCACAGAGAGAGAGACTGAAACGACCTTTGTGTCTCCACTGCTGTGAGTGAGCGAGTGAGCCGACTGAGAGCTTGCAGCGTTTGGGTGGAAACAGGTGACGAGGGTTAGGTCATTAGCCAAACTAGCAGCGTGCTCACCCGCTTAATTTGTATCTTCTACCTTTATAATCAGCTCTTTTTTAGCATGTTAACAATCTGAACTCTGAAAGCAAAAAACAAATAAATGACCTGAACAAATAAGTGTATTTACACTAAAAGACTTAATCTGTTGACATCATCACTGACAAAGAGTCCAATCCAAGGCCAGGTGCTGCACCGTGTCTCCTGTTTTCACTCAGAATGACAGAAATGCTCAGCTCCAGCCTGCATAGCTGAATGTCACTAACAAATACGTCAGATTATATTAGATATGTCCATCTTTTACACTGTGTGTATCATGAGCCAGGCACACTGACACCCACTCCAAAGCACAGAACTGAGTCAGGATTCCATTTGAACTTTCTACCATCAAATTTACAGGAAATTTCACTTCAAACACAATTTTCCTGCTTCTGAAACGATTCTTTCTTGTATTTACAAAATCTGGGTGTCAATACAATAAAATAAAAATAAAAGTAAAGCAGAAAAATAACATCATCTACTCATCCTCAAGAAGAAAACTGCTGTTAGAAGACAGCAAATGTGTAGTTCAGTCTAAAAGCAGACGTCGTTCAGAAACAACATAAATATACCCACTAGCTAGTCCTCAATATAGACACAGCTATGGAGGAAAAAAAAACTTTAAATGTTGCTGCTTGCTTGTAACTGAGAGACTGAGACAGCGTCTCAGGGCTGCTGGAGTCCCCGTGAGCTCTGTTTGCTTAAGCAGGCTGCGTTTTCCTGCATGGACAGTACTGATCACTGACACTGAGCCTTTTTGTTCTGGTTTTGTTTTTAAACCAGGGGGCCACTTCTGGAGCGATGTAGGCGGAGAGAAACCGGAGTGTGAAGCGAGGCCGCTGTAATGGCTTGTTTGCAGGTTAAGAGGTCCTTTGTGCATTGTTTGTCTTTCATTCTGAGCGCAAAATGAGCCGTTTAAACTGAGCTCTGACAGTGTGAGGTTCTGCCTGCTCGTGGCTTTCCCTATAACTGCTGAGTAAGACGCTGCGTGGCAATAACCTCAGCAGCAGTGCTGGTGTGTGTCTGTGTGAGTGTGTTTGTGTGCGCCTGACCCAGGAGGAGGCCCAGATGAGAATATAACCATTGTTTCTGCTGGAGGATGAGGACCGGGGCGACAAGCCAGCCCAGTAGACTCTTTCCTTTATTAGAGCCAGATGTCTGTGGGTGTTAGAAAGGAAAACTAAGGCTGTTTGATTCGAACCTCCAGACACGGACATGTGCACAAACGGACATCAGCAATGAGTCCAAAGCAACAAGAAGGGATCTGCAGCTACAACATCCAGCCCGAGGGGGAAAAGGCGTATGTGTAATCTGATTTAGGTGTGCTGACTAACCAGGGGTCATAATGAGACAGTTTTCAAACAGAGTGGACCTGGATTTATTCTATCAGAAAGAAAACATCATACTGCAACTCCAAAGAGTTAGGGACTCAAAAACCATCAAAATCCTTAATGAAGTACAATCAGTAGTGTTATATATATATTTACGCTTGTCTTGCTAATCTCTCAGGATGAGATCAAACTTAGTGATCAGGCCTGAGCTGTGATAACCCTGTCGCCACGTCATCACCGCTGGAACGCTCTCGTCACATTTTGAGGGTCTTTACTTTGCAACCTAAAGCACCTCGAGGCGATTGTTGTTGTTGTTATTTGGTGCGATACGAAAACATGGAATTATCCTGAATTGAATTAAATTGACAATATTAACCACAATGCCCCCTCACACAGATCTGCTGACCTCCCTGAGCCTGCTTCTGCTGGAGGGTTCTTCCTGTTAAAAGGGAGTTTTTCCTTCCCACTGTCGCCAAAGTGCTTCAAAGGCAGTTGTTGTTCTCTCTGTTATTCTCAGGTCTGTACCTCACAATATAAAGTACCTTAAGGTGATTGTTGTTGTGATTTGGTGCTATATAAATTAAATATTCTAACGCTGTGAAATTAATTTGAAGCTGGAGTGGATTAAAATGTACAAACTGGTGTAAAACACAAAACGACTCCCTCTGTCACTATAGTGTGTGACGGGCAGCCCATCCTCCCTCCTGTGTAGTTATTGACATTACACAACATTAATCACACCACAGGATCCTTTCTCTGTTATGTTGATTGTTGACGTGTCGTCTTTGGGATGTCCTAAATGGCAATGATGTGTACTTAACAGTGACTGTGGGTCTCTGAGGCCCTCAGCCATTTTGGCACCAAACGTCTGACAATATGTAAAAAAACATAAATTTTGAATGATGTGAAGCACAGAAAGACAAAGCCAAGGGCCAAAAATGTACCACAAGAAATGAAAAAGTTTGAACTTCTCTAAAGTGTCCTAAATGTTTTTCAGCCCAAGAAAATAAAATATTAAATTCTTTCCATCTTAGTTTCAACAACAAAGCAAATTAAATAATCTTTTCATTGCTGCTCGCAGCAGTGATTCATAAGACAATAAAAACAAATAAAGCATGAAGACGAGAAAAGAGGATCATTTAGTGAAAAACAGGTTTGGTTGCTGGAGCAGGGGCACGTCCACGAAGCTCCTCTATGCAGGGCATGGCGGTAATGAGACTCAGCGCCTTTAACCCTTTAACAGCCACACAGGCCGTCTCTCGTCTTGTAGGTTAGAGGCAGGCCGGTGCGCCCACTGAGTGAATCCTGTACCTGTCCAGACACGTTCTGTAGCTCAAAGTATTAAGGATGCTTGGTGTTACAGGCAATGATACGTAAGCACTTCACTGCTGTGGCAGAAGGGCCGACAAACTAATGCTAGAAACCAGTGACAGCGAGCTGTCGGCTGCACCGCCACACTACTAATGTGGAGGTCTTGAGAGTGGAACCGCAGCCATCAGCTGCAGTAATCCTCGAGGTGGTGATGAGGCAGTTTCCCTCTCAGCTGTATGAATCTAATGAGAGCAAGCATGATGGGTACTGGCTCGCCACGCCGAGAGCTCGGTGGAAGATGTGAAGTGTGCCTTACAATTTGGCGGAGTTTCTATATTGATCAGAAGGAGGGGGAGACAGACTTAGCTCCCATAATGCTTTGGGGTCAGGGCACGTGCGAGGACGCTGTTTGCTTTGCAGAATCTGAAGCAGCCTAATTTGTCAGCAGTTTGCTTAAACGTGTAGGGAACAACATCAGGAGAATCCCTCATCCAGTCCATCCTCTGAGGATAACAACCATGAAGACCTGCTTCACCCACACATTTCAGTCTTTGCATGCGTCTAGTCCATTTAGCCCGCATCCCTGTCCAGTCGGTGCTGACTGAACATCCTCTGAATTATTCCCAGAAACTCACACACCTCCGGCACCTGTTTACACATCAATTTTACAGTTTTTTAAATCAAGTTTGTTCCCATAGAATTCTGCCCTCCGCTCATTTCCTTTTATCTGTTTGACCGAATCAGCCGCTCTCAGAGTCCCATCTCTGTCCACCATTACTCCAACCTCAGGTAGCTGGGTATGGAGTAGTTGAACATGAGGAAGTCTAACTTGTAAAGCTGGTAGAGCTGGATCTGCTGCTGAGTGCTGATATTGCTGAAGAACTGAGCCGTCATAGCATCCGTGGTACGAGTGGACTTGGCGTAGGTCGGGAAGCGCAGGGAGTCACCTACACCCACCAGCTGCAACAGGTAGTTTGCATCCTCCTCCAGTGTCTCATACTTGCCCACCATGTCATAGTGGATGTGACACGGGTGACAGAGCTGGTACACAGTCTGCCAGTGCTCGTTGAGTCCGTCCCGCTGTGTGGCCGGGTCCACCAGATACTCAATGAACTCTTTGAATTTGACATCAGCCCCGTTGAGCAGGGCATCCTGCGTGGCGTTCTTGCGGTAGCGGCGGATGATTCGGGTGCCAAAGCGCTTGTGGAAGGATGAGTTGTACTTGAGGGTGAACTTGTTGCGATATGCAGAGACCAGCCTCTCGAAGGGCTCACGAACAAAAAGGAACTTGAGGTAGTTCTTGAGGCGGTGATTGATCTCGGCAATGCTGTACTGATTCAGTGTCTTAAGGTTGGAGGGAACGTGGGCTTCATTGGAAGGAATTTCCATTGGGTCACTGCGTGAGAGAGGCACGAGACAGTGAAGAACAACAGAAGCACTTATTTTCCTTCCTCTCTGTACAGTACCAAACTCACCTGTACTTGCCCCGGCCTGTAAGCACCATCATGACACGTTTCCAGTTGGTACAGGCCACCTTGGGGACATAGCAGTAGATAAGCTCATGGTCTTCATCCACCACGAGGTGTTTGAGGTCTCCGGGTGTCAGGACTCTCCGCTTACGACTCGATGCGCTGTAGACCCGACAGGCATCGACTACCTGATCCCTCCTGGCCTGGTGGAGGACAGCAGCTCCTGATAACTCCGTCTGAGAGAGAGAGAGAGACTACTGTGAAATTCAAATAAAAGGCTTCAGGAGGGTAAGTACAGCACAAGATGTGAACAGTCAGTTTTACTTTAATTATGTAGTTTACAGCACAGAGTTGAAAAGAATCCAGAGTAAACAATGTGTGATGTGCAATAAAGGTCCCTGAACAAACACTGGTTCCCAGCTCAAACTGGGTGGTTAACCAACTTTCAGGATAATTACCAGATAAACCAATGAACCCTCTTTAGGCTGATGTAAAAAATAAATCTTTCTTTTTCAGCTGTGATTGATTGGGTTCAGCTAACCACAAGCTTAAAGAAGAAAAACTCATTGGCTAAATGAAAAGCTCCGATTCCCATGTTACTAGTTTGGACGAGTATGTCCCAGTGAAAGCCCGGCTGTAATCTGTGTGAAGGGATGAACAAAACAAACAAACAAAATGAACTGCCTACTGGTTTTATTACCAGTTGATCTGATAAAGAAACCAATAATTAAACCCAACAACACTTCATCATTAGCTAAACTCTGCGCCAGTCGTTTGTAACAAATGTAACAAAATGTGACAATTGTGGGATTTTTGTTGACAATAATTGAACCCAAGAAAGGGAACATACCATATTAGTCACCAACATTCATATTTAACTCACTACACTAGTTATTGTAGCAGAATTATAAAATATTATTTCACACATTTGTTCTGAAACTTAAAGATGTTTTAGTGCTCTTGGTCACTAACACGGCAGTGAGAAAAAGCCGAGCACTCTACAACTGAAATGAATCAGAAAGAGGGCATGAGGACGGATATGGAAAAGACAGGCAGTTAGATAGCGAGTTATCAATCTTAGGCTTTATTATCATACTCATCTCTTTATTCACTCTATCTTTTTGCCTTATTTGAGTCATTCCACAGACTGTGATAGAGATTAGTCCATGGGTGTGGAGGAAAATAATGATATTGGAGAATATTACAGATCCTGCGAGTTCGGTATGAGTGGCTCCAGTCGGTAATCATTTATCGGAGGCATATTTCACCGTCCCAGTGATGCCTGTGGTGAAGCCGACCGTGGCAGGAGAGAAAGGATGAGGTTACAGAAAGAAATGAGAAGAGTAAGAGCAGTATGGAAGTTTTGCATTTTAGGGGCGGGAATGTTTGCTCGTGCCTCTTGATTATTTTTCCTCTGGGTCTACATTCCCCTGTAGGGCAGTGCTCTGGGTTCCTCACAGTATCTAAATTGATTTTACTGTGGCCTGCAGCCTTACCACTCTGTCCCACTCCACACAGCCATGGCCTTTCAGTGATACACTGTCAGGGGCTGAGAGGGTGGGAGAGATGCTGACATGAAGTAATGAAACAACACTGGGGCTAACAGGGAGTCTGTACACGAACACAGCTTTGACTAAAGAGGTTTTCATGTGATTCTCTTGGACGCCAGCTTTCAAAACAGGTCTCCAAGTTTGCAGTTCATCACACGCACAGCTTGCTACGGCATCATGGGGAAAGCTTTTACAGTAGGGGATTGCACGATGTGCTCCTGTTATCCCGTAGCTAACAAGTCTACAACGATCCCAGCTGGAGCGAGAGGCGCGGTACACCCTGGGCAGGCGACCAGTCTATCGCAGGGCAAACACAACAGGCAGTCACACCGACGGGCAATTATAATCATTTAACCCAACCCTACTAACTGCATGTCTTTGGACTGTGGGAGGAAGCTGGAGTACAGAAAGGCCCCGGCTACATGGGGGAGTCGGACCCAGGGACCTTCATGCCACCGTGCTGCCCCCCTTAAGTCAAATAAGACATCTATAAAATACACTTCTTGAACTAAACCAAAAAATAAAGTACTTACAATCGTTTTTTCTCACTATCTTTCTGTTCACTTATCTAGTGCTCAGTTCATTTAAGTATATCTCACAAAAATACTCTACATTTAAATACAAATACAAACCTGTCCACAAAAATGATGTGGACAGGTTTGCAAAGCAGTTTCATACTGTGAGTCACCTGGTGGTCCAACCTGTCTCCTGACAATTGTTTGCACAGCAGTGTCTCAGTTATAAGAAGCACACTGACTCACACTGACTCACACTGACTCACACTGACTGGGCCTCGGTGTAAAACATTGCCAATTGGTTGTATTTTGCTTATATCCCTATACAAAAACACGGTTGCCCAGCACTTACGATATTTTGCAGTCAAATGTAATTTTGTGTAGTAAAAATAAATAAATAAAACACATGCAATCCTTGCTCTCCCTGACCAAAAAATAACTTCCTGTCACATTAGACAGCTCTGCAGAAAACTAGGATTTATTTTAAACTAAGATTTGCTTTTTTGCACAAGACACAATATTTTATTCCCACCAGAGAAAAAGTAATATCTAGATCTTTCTTCATTGGGCAACGATAAAAGAGTATTTTCAAACGTTGCTGTCTTTATTAGAATTAAAGCAATAGTGGGCGTCCTTTATTCCCATAGTTACTCCTGTTTTTGGGAAAGGGAAGTGGAGCTTTTTCAGGATGGACAATGAAAGTCTCCAGTCAAGATGAAGTGCTGCTTTTGTGCGTCTCCACTTGTTTGCTCTTTTATGCATTTTGCAGTCATGGTCATCAACTCCAAAGCATCAAAGCCCACTAAGGCATGAGAGCTCTTTGTTGATGAAACTCTTAAAGAAAAGGAAGAAGTGGGAGCATCAGGCTATAATTCCCTCAAATGTTGCAGCAGACATGCAGCCCTCCATCTCAGCACAGTTGAAACTGTATTTAACTCGGGAAAAGAGACAAGGGGATCTTCTCAGGCTTGGCCTCAGTTTTCCTCTCATCTCTCTTCTTTCTCTGGGATCACTTTCTACCACTTATCTCATCTTTAGGCAGCCCTGTGAAGTCTCTTGTGGGGTTTTGATGAAGAGTGAGGACAGGGATGAAAAGCAGGAGGAGGAGATGAGATGTGGTGGAGGTCACTGACCTCTGGCCATGTCGAGCTTTTCCCATTGGACAGCAGACTATAGCACTAGCAAATATGCTTGCCCATTTCTGCCCTGATACTTTGTGGACACAAGCTAGTGAAACGGCACCAAATAAGAGCCAGTGTCATAAAATGTCATAAAACCACAGCTATAAAAGTAGTTAGCCGCGACACATTTTATGGCTAATTCAGTTTGATCTCTTCCAATAAGAGCCTCAAACATCCAGCTCAGCAGTTTCTGCATGCAGGTATACTAGATGATGAATTACTTAGTGTTACAGACACCATGCACTGATATGGAAGTGAAGGTTTAGTCCCTATTTCTCTCTGGAAAACACCATCACAACTTTGAGAAAACCGGGGGGCTGGAAATCCTTAATCCCACCACGAAAGTCATTGTCAGCAGCGTATCTGCAAACAGGGAAGGCTTTACTTCCTTATCCTGAGGGTTGGAGATGATGGGAAATGCACATCCTCTCCTTGTTGCACATTTGTTGTTAAAATGTGTGAGAAAGTGATGAAAGGGCAACATGGAGACTGTGTTTCAATATTTCAAGTCTTCATTTCCTCACCACGACTGTGTTATTGTCTCTGAAAGTTGTTATGAGTTTGAAATATCATCTGTGTATCAGCGCTGAGCGGCTTGTCGCAGCGGTGGTAATGAATAGCTTCCTCCTAATCTGCTGATGATAGCAAAGAAAGAGATAAAGGAAGGAAGCCAGGAAGTGATCACTAAAGGACAGAAGAAACATATTCCAGTGAAAGTCTGTAAACTAGCTTACATACAAACGTAGACCCAAGGCTAAAGTATCAACAAAGCAAAGCAAGCCAGCGACGCAGGAAGTCTCAGGGTTACATCAGTTTGGTCACTTTGATTTGACCAAAGTCTCTGACAGAGCCTTCATCAGACTGTTAATTGGCTGCCTTGGCAGTCGTTTTATATACGTGTGCTATAACCTGTGTTTCTGTATTGTAACAAAGTTAAGACAAGTGTAAAATATTCTGAAAGCTAAAATAAAGATTGAACCAACCATATTTTTGACAGTAAATCATCTTCTGTTACTAATCAAACAGTTTTAGTACAGATTAGGTCTTAAAGACTTTTACTATGTAGCTAAAGATGACTAAAAATACACTTGAATGTTCCAGTTAGAGTCATGAATTTTCACGGTGCAAAAGTAAGAAATTCACAATTTGTCTCATGTAATGACCTGAGGATGTTTCTTCAGTATAAGCTAAATGCTGAGGACCAAAAGGTTAGGGGAAAGAACAAAATGGACAAGGATGCAGCGAGTGAGAAGGAAAGACTATGACTTGACTGGCAAAGAGAGCTGGCTGATAAAAGGAGAGTAGATATACTGTGCGTGCAGTTGTCCAGGGTAAATAAGGGGGAGGCTAGGAGCTTAGGAGATGGACTCAAACTGGTCTACAACGGTGCCGACAGAAGGGGAAATGGACTTTATTGGCTAGACTGACAGACTAAGTTAGAAAGGAAATGTACTAATGATTGAGGGGTTTGTGATGAAAGAAAATAAGAGAGAGACAGATGATGGATGGCAGTTAGTGAATCAGGAAGTGCAGAGGATGAGTAAGGGCAACGTGAGGATGAAGAGTGGAAAGGTGGTTGGTCCTGATGACATACAGCAGACTTTTTTTTAACACAATCTAGGAGGATGAAAAAATGCTTGAGGAATGGAGACAAAGTGCCAATTTTCAAGAACAATGATGATGTGCAGAGCTGTAGTAACTACAGAGAGATAAAGCTGATGAGCCATACCAAGAAAATATGTGAAAGAGTTCTTGGCGGGCTGATAATCAGTGAGCAGCGGTATGGCCATGCCAAGAAGGAGCACTACAGATGCAATGTTTGCTTTGAGAGTGTTGATGGAGAAGCACAGAAAAGGTCAGGACAGCAGCACAGAGAAAGCATATGGTAGCATGCCTGGAGAGGAACTGTGGTGCTGAAGGAATCAGGAGTGGCTGGTGCAGCACATATATGAGTGTGTGAACAGATCTGTTTAAGGTAGGGATGGGATCA